TGACTGCTCTCCTTAAGACTCGGTTTCTCCTCATTTTATAATTCTTCCCATCATTCTCGTCTTTTTACCCTCATTATGAAATTGAGAATTTTTCTTGGCTCCATGACAACGGAACGGTATAGCGTCTCAGCTCTGCGCGTTTTCCTTCAACCTGCCAATCACAGGCGCGAATTCTAATTTTAGAAAAACAAATTCCAACAAACACATAAGGGAATGAGTCATCTCACCTGATCTGATCGCCATCATTATTGATAATACACATGTCGATCATTTCTAAGTGCAAGTGAATTACCTTCAACGTCAACCGCCAACATCAGATGTATATTGTTTATCAGTGTGAATTTTAATTAGGCATTACAGCAACTGGGAATAAATCTCCAGAGATACCACAGCACACAAAATGGCTGCAACCAGGGACCATAGGGGCCCCAACCCCACTTCCGAATCGTGGAGGGGGGCGTTATGCATGTGGGAATGAGTGTTCAGTGGAAACCTGACTCATCTGTCTTGAGTTGACTAAAAGATATCTTGTGTGGTGAATCTATTGGCAGATCTTGAATGGGGATGTTTTGGAGCCGCTCCGCTATCGCGAAAATATATGTAGGGAGGAAAGGGGACACAGGTGCCATACTCAAGGCTCGTGCTCTCTCTGCCCTCCCCACCCCTATAACGGTCCTGTGGCTATCATTGTTATGTTCAAAACTAGGACAAACTCTACAGCCCAAATCACCCCTCTATTACCCTCCCCCCACCACCACCACCACTACCACCACCATCGGTCCATCTGCAAACTGGACCCAAGTTATATATGCTTATTGTACAGGTGTGTGGTTTTCTGCTGTTACCTGCTTCTCAGCAGCAAGAGCAGCAGCATCCATCACGTGTAGCAGTTGCTAAAGCATCACAACTCAGTATCTCAGGTAAGAAGTATGCATATCGGAGGAAAGGTCTAGGCCTAACTGACACAGCCCCAGTGTTCTGAGTTGGAAATTCTCACCCGAAATTGTCACTGCTGCTCTATAGCTTGAATTCCAATGACATTTATGTCTATGAGCCAAATTGTAACTGCAAATCTCTCTAATCCCAAAAGTCTCTTAAATCAAACACTTGTATGCGTCAATATCACAACATTCTTTGGAAAAAATAGAAAACGGGGGACTATAAGCTGTATTCAAAACCCAGAGACTGTACCGGCCTGGGAAGAAACAATTAGACCACATTTCCCCTTCATAACCCTTGCTTTCCGGTTCAGAATGACATCACCTCTGTGAAGCTCAAAAGAAACCCCAAGTTGCCACTTACATCGTCTAGTCAAGTGGGTATCAAAATCGACACCCCTCTCCATACCCCTATTTACATTGCTCACATCCTTTGGATCAGGGCTGCCTGAGTCCCGGGGGATGTTACCCCGAATTCCCGTATTCCAAATTTTCCTCCAAACTGTCGATAAGTTATTGTAAAAATATCCTCAAACCAGAGGATTATATGCAGGAAATCAACCCAGATAATGAGCCTTGTGTTTGTACACACTAGTAATGATTTCCTTGATGAAGACCGGAGTTTGACCGTTAAGTCCTCCAGCATGACTCATTGCGTTCACCGGGGGCTGGCACGGTGGGGTGGATGGGCTTTCCAGGCGGCACGCTACACTGATCTGGGTGTTAAAGGTCACTCCATGTCGCTAAACAACTTCTGAAAATATGAAAAGTTGTTTAAAAGTTTGCTGATGTAAAGTCGTAGCAAAGATGTAAATGCAGAATAACAGTTATTTTATAAATGTTTCACAGTTGTGAAAGACTATACTTCAAGTGAGGTTGTTTTGTTGTTAGCGTCACACATATGAAATGTCATTTAACGTGTATAACAATTACAATTGATGCCCCTTTAATTTCTCCTGAAGTATTGTTGGTTCCTGGGAGGCCTTGGCCATATGGAAATACAGCGGACATAATGATTGAGTATTTCCTGTTTCATGTGACAATTTATATTTCAATGCTATTATGGTTATAAATACGTAATTCCCAAAAATGTAATATTTTCAAAAGTGTGTAGAACAAAATGTGTGGAAATGAAGTTAGGTTTACTCAACTTCAAGATCGGCACAAATACTAACATTTAGAAATAATATATCATATCGAGAAGAACGGGGGAAATCATTTTTGTCGTATACCTATTTGGGGTTGCGTGAAACTTGTTCAATGTGGAGTAAGGAGGCGAAATGTTGCCTTATTTAACCTTTTTTACCGAATTAACCCCTGATCACGAAAATAAAAATGCTTATTATACACCCATTTTTCTCGTTACGTTAGAAGAGGATTTTCCTTTACGCGCTAAAACCCGTGAAATGCAATGCATTCGCCATAGTAATCTTGAATAATTGGTATGATGAATTTTACTACTGCGTGTGAATCAACTAATTGGCATGTTATGGCAGGTCACTCGTATAACACAATGCATTATTGACTCCATAGTTTATATGGCGCCGCAACGTCGCCGGAATAATGAGGGGATATACCGCAGCGACGGCTTACTCAGTTGTAAACCATGATCGCGGTCGTAGGATGATCCTGTGCACCGGTTTATTCTAGCCCTAATTAAATTGTCATTCAAAAAATAGTTATGAATCATATTTGACTAAAAACGCACATATTTCACATATGGCGCGCGTGCGTACAGATGCACCGCGGACCGCAAAGCTTGGACATTACCACCTACACACCTCTAGCGATATCTTTTTCCAAAAACTAGAATTTCTTGCATCAATCCTGCAAACATTTTAAAGCATTCCAATTGGTATCACCTCGGCTTTCCATTTTGTTTTGTTTTGTTTTTGTCTCAGTTTTTTTCTTGCGAAGAAATATTTATAAAAATGGATCCTGAAATACCTTATAGCAAATAGCAACCACTACTCTCATAGAAAAGTTTCCAGATTGGCAGGGAAACGTAACAAGTGCGGGTTAAGAAGACACTTGTTTAAAAAAGGAAGGTAAAAACCTTTAGCAGTATTTCAGATTTTTCAATACGGGCGATTCCTAATAGTGCGCCTCCACGAGTTTGCAACGCGCTGACCAATCACAAGGCGCGAAATCTATCGGCCCTTTTCAAGGGCACATTGGGTCGACAGATTTCGCGCACTGTGATTGGTCAACGCGTTGCAAACTCTCGGGGCACACTATTGTGAAATGCCTGTATCTATTTGCATAATTTATACGGAAATACTGCATTTAGTCACGTTTGGTTTAACCTCTGTACCGACTCTAATGTTTCTCTTTTATTGCTTACCGTGACGGGAATTGTGTGGAGGTTAAATTTAGCTATGATGAGTATCCCTCATCAAAGAGAACACTCGGCAAAGCCAAGTTAGCCAACTTTGTACAATAGGATGAATCAAACTAATCATGACCTGTCTGCAGGTTTCCCAAGAATCCACTTACTCCTTTGTTTGAGTTACTTCTTAAACATGATTGTATTTGTAGCTTGAGATGCCGCCGTGTTAAATTACAGAGCTTTGTGGGTTTTGCGTTGATAGTCGGAATGTGATCGGGATGGTATGTTGTATCACAACTTACCACCTACCAGCGGTTTGAGAACGAAGACTGATTTTTATTTCGTTAAAACTTTTCAATGAAATTGGAACTAAAGCTATATTAAAAACAAATGTGTTTTATTCTCAATTGAAACATATATTCATGTACGGATACTTATTCTCCAAAAGAACGCACGTACTGTTTAGTACGACATTATTTTATTCATATGAAAACAATTAACATAAGAATATTCAGCCTTAGCGACGAGCCATCGTGTTTTTTGGTCCTCGCCTGGTGACAGTACATACTTTTCTTTTGTCCAGTTAAGCCAGTGCATGATTCAGCGTCATTCATCAGCCGCGTGTTCATAGTACCGTATCCAGACTTCGTGTAGCTTTAGCCGTAGTTTATTGCCCCTTTGTTATCTCTTCCCAAGGACTCTCCCACATATTTCCATTCATAAAAACTTTGGTGCAATCCCTGCCACGAGAAGCCAGCCGTCACTTGGCCGGTGGATTCCCCGCTCTGATTGGCCAAGCGTGACGTACTGGTTAGAAAATAGCTCATGACCTCATCGGATGGTCGTCGGCACTTATACTGCGCATGTCAAGTAAATTCGCAACGGCAACGACAACTGCGCGGAAGTATGGCTGCAGTTACCGGTTTTTTTTTTCCGAAAAGCGGGACTTTTCGGTTGGACGTGTGAAGGTCTTGATTGTAGTCGGGCTTCGAAGTGGTCTGGGCTGCTGCTTGAGCAAAGAACAAGAAGAGTGAGTTTGTAGCAATATTAAAAAGAAAATGTTTACGTTTCACTGTGCGTTTCGAGAAGAGATATCCATGGAGGTTGGGATAACCTTCCTTCATGGGAACCATCATTGTACATGTGCATGTACACATGTACGTAGGCCAACATGTCATGTGTATTATGGGAATGTGAACGAACCGACAGCACGTACGTGTATATCAAATGTACTGTGCATACGGTAAATACATGGTTAACGCGGGAACGTTCGTAAGCTACATGTAGAATGCTTGGCTGCATAGTACTTGTAGGACTTAATCAAAAAACATTTTTTCTGTGCTGCCTAACCAACTAGGCCTATTTTAAGTATTTATTAAAAAAAGGGATTCCCCGCCACTCAGGCCTGTCATTGCATAGCCTGCTAGTGCTACAGTCTACAGAGTACAGAAGTGATATTCTTGGCTTGCCAGCATACTTGATCTGGAAGGGTACGGGTAGCACCACTGGCCAGAGCCCAATTTCATGGTGCTGCTGAGTGCATGATTTTGCAGGACTGCAGGTTCTGCAGCGTATTTCATGAAGACCGTTAGGCATAAGCAGTAAGCATGGCAAAAGGACAGCTCACCTTTGAAACTTTGAGGAAAAAATGCTTAACATGGTGCCAAAACATTGGAAATCTCTATATGCATGCATGGAGAAATAATTTCTCCATGATGCATGCAACCGTAAGCACTACCGCACCAAGCACCACCATGAAATGGTGCAAAGTTTTCTGCTGACGTAAACATGACTTTCCTGATAACTGTTAAGTATTGCTATGAAATTGGGCCCAGGACGTACTCGTACATGTAGGCTTACTTCAATAACCTCACTGATTGATTTATTTTGCGGGGAGAATTCTGTGTCCATGTCATCGGAGCATCACAGTTTTTGAGTGTCAACACCAATATATTTAAAAAGGGATACCAGTTGATTTTAGGGGGATTTTTTAGCCAGTAAAAGAGGAAGAACTAAAAAAAAATTTCAAAAATGTGGTATTCCTGTCCGACACTTGAAATTTTGATGGTAAGTACATTTACATGTAGGTCTTTCCCTTCTATAGTTTTCTCCTCTTGAACAATGATACCAATTATAGCACATGTACATTATTTAATGCCTTGTGCAGAATGGCTGCTGAATGGAATGTGAATAAGCGGCATTTGTATTACGGTGAGACTCGGAATAGAGATTCAATTCCGAAAATATGAAAATACAACAGCTGGAGTCGGCTTCCTCTTGCATTGGCATTTCTTCTCTTGCCCATCCGGGAAGCCAGCACTGCATCCAGCAGTCCAGCCCCTTCCAGAAAAAAAAAAGTCATCCAGAATTTTATAACAAGGCTTAACCTCATATTTTCTGTCAAACAACTGGTGTAGTGATGCATTGACATTGGCAGTGAAAACAGACTACACGTAGCTGCAAAAAAAAGTGCTCACATGTTGCTAACTTGTTATTAAACAAAATTCTTCAAAATTTGTAAGGTCCTCAGTATTTCACTTGAAGACTGAGAGCGTAATACAAATGTGAATGGAGACTTTCTTAATGGTAGTACTGAACCCCCAGATTTCCAGGACACCTTCACATGCTTCCTAAATTAGTCATCCTACCGTGCACGGAGCAGTGTGCCTGATGGGCATTTTCAGAATGACTGTCAGTGCCATACTCCCTTCCGTGAAAATTCGAACTGTTTTCCAAGTTTGCCGTGTTCAATTTGCAGTCATCCGTTTTTATCTATTCCACACATTTCACTGTGTAGATTAGTCCAGGAAATGTTACAGTATACATGTACATGTGCGTTTGAGGAAGTGTGACTGTACATGGTTCTGTATGTCATACAGTATTTCAAAGTTCCAAATGTGGGACCTTGGCCGGACTGTGGTCGTGGATAAAGTTACATGTTCCTACATGTTTATGCACGCGTACTAGTACTGTACACGTACACTTGGAATAGAGTACAACATGCTTGCATTTTTATTTCACAACCATGCCAATTTTTAATACATGTACTCGATATAATGAACAGCAAACCCTGGACTGAGAAAATAAACCATATTTCAAACTCCCAAGATAATGCTTTAGCAATCATATACATGATATCATGTACATGCAATCACATTCTAGTTGGTATTGGACCAGAGTTGGACAGTGGTTTGCTCAGTAAAATCCCCTTGAATCGGAGTTGATGTGGTTGCAAATTCTGTCCTGTCATTTGCATATTTTGTAATGACAAGTGCTGTTATCTCTGCCAAACTCTTTAAGTCCCTGTTGAGAGACTACATGTACATGCTGCTCTGCACAGGTTTAACTGTCATTAAGGGGAGCAGCTAAAGCCCAGTGACTCATCATAGAGTTTGCTGTGGGCTCACTGGCTAAATATAGCCATTGCTACATGTACAGTACATGTGCATGCATTGTGTACAGTGTGCCCTTTACAACAAAAATACATATCATCCAATAGCCTGTTGACAAGAAGGTCACGAGTCCATCAGGTGTGCTTGTGATGCAATCCTTGTAGCTGTCATCTGGACTTTTTACCTGTGAAAATCACACCAGTCTGAATTTGTACCGGTACGTTTGAAGAGAATACATTGTTTTCGGTTTAAGAAATGTACTTTACTTCTTATGATTACCATGGAACATGTAGAGCTCTGCTGATTGCTTTAAAGGGCTGTCTGGGACGGATTTGAACCTTTCCATTAAGAGCTACATCCACTTCTGTATCCATAGTAATTGTTTTCATACTGGATGGTAGTGATAGGATATGAAGGGGTCAGATATTTCATGAAATGATTGCACCGTACAGTATATTTGATTTATTTTGTGTGCCTACATGTACGCATTCTTTTTGGAGGGATTGCCTCTTAGTGGTTTCTGCTGGATGGAAACCTGTTGAACTACAGTAATTTGATGGTCCTCCAAGAATGTACATGTACTTGTAACTAATCTGGATGTGAGACGAGAACTGTTGAAAAACTACTGTACAGAATGGAACCTCCTCCTTTAAATGCCATGCCTGTATCCATAGTAACTGATTTGTACTGGATGGGAACAGCTTGAAAAGATAATGTCCTCTGTAGAGTGAAATTTTGTCACCGTCGGGTGCCCGGCAAAAGGGCGTAAGCTCGCTGGGAAACATGATCACAGCGGAAAAAACGTTCCACGGCAAAAGGGCGTAAGAAACACACTGTCTTTATTTAGCAAACACGGATATAATTTACTACAAAATCAACCTGGGCAGCACAAAAAGCAACCTTTTAACAACTAATTAAAGGACTTGGGTATTTTTTGATACTTTTTGTCAAGAAATCTTCATATTTCATTAAAATAAACTAGTTGCATACTTTCGTCCTTTTGCCGGGAAAAGTTTTTTTTGCAGTGATCACGCTTCCCGGCAAAAGGGCCTAAGTGCTTACACTCGTCTGCCATGCACACGGCGATGGTTTATTTGATGTATTTTGTATGATATTGTACTTTGGCAGGGAGTGACTATTTCTGGTTTCTGCTGGGTGGAAGCCAAATGAACTAGTCTGATGGTCCCCAAGAATAAAGCTGATCTGGAGACAAGACAAGCACTGTTGAAAAACTGTTGAGTGAGACATCATCTTCTTAGTTACATTTTATTTTGGGTACTCCAGGCAAATCAACTCTGCCGCTGACTTCTCTCGTCACCACCCATGACAAGTGAACACATTGTAGCCCCAGCCACTCTCCCTTTCCATTCCTCACCAAAGGACCGACCAGTCAGCAGCCTTCATGCATCTGGTATTGGATGTGCCAGCAGCCCATCCGTTCAAGATCCCCGTACATAAAATGAACAGTAGAGCGCCCCCTGTCTGCCGGTGGACCCACATGGTTCCGCCGAGCTTGCTTGCTGAGCTGTTCCATGGTGGGAATTTAGAGAACACTCTCTTAATAGACAGCAGGTCCTTCTTGGAGTATAACACATCCCACATTGTGAACTCAGTCAATATTGGATGCTCCAAAATTGTGAAAAGAAGGCTGGAACAGAATAAGGTAAGAGAATTGATATACAGTATGGCGTCAGGATTTTAAAAAATAGCCCATCTAGAGGCTAGTCAGTTAAAGGGAGCGAGTGTAATTGTTATCTGTTGCATCTAAGAGGGACATTCATACTGGTCAAAGAAGGCCCTTCTTTTTCTACCTCAAGCAAAATCTTGTTGAGGCTGAAGATGGTGGGAGCTGGATGTGGACTCTAAATACAGTGTGATTTTTATTGGAGGAGGGAGGGAAAAGCAGGACAACTGCATCTCCCCCAACAGAACAACTCTATTTTCCCAACTCCTTTCTGTGTTGCTACATATACATGGACAGTATGTACAACATAATGGTATGTATGCACATGTACTTCATTGCTTGCCTGCATTGCAGGCTACCGGTATATGCAGACCTGCCTTGAGTACATGTACGGTACATATGCAAAATCTTATCCCGCCATTGTCGCTGTATTTTATTGCACCGATTTGTCAGCTGGCCCAACTGAAAGCGACTTTGAAATGTCCCTGTTCATTTTTGCGCACAATGTTACTGGTATATCTGACCACCCTATCCGACTGGATTTCTCTGAGAGGGAGTACATGTATGTTTAAGGAGCAAAAAGCCTTGGCAATTGCTGCATCCTGTAAAGTCTGAGCCATCTCTTGAAGGAGGAAATTCAATTGCCTGTCCATGTTCGACTCATACTGGTCCCCTTTTACATGCGCATAAAATTACAGGGCATGCACACATACATGTATGTTGTGTTAGATATGTTTTCCTGAAAAGAGAGAATAACCTCAGTTTTTGGAATAACCTGAAATTGGTTTCCATGTGTGCTGGCAGTTTTGGGGAGAATTTGCTAATCACATTGACTTCCCATAGACTTGCTGTCGCTTGCATCACACAGTGCAACCAGTGGGCAGGTACACTGTAATTCAGTAACTACTGCATTATCAAGTATTGAACAGGCAGCAACTTGAAACATTAAAAAATAGCAGACGTGTTGAATTTCTTTAGATTTTCCATGCCAGGGAAAGGTACCACATTTGTGAGAATTGGCCTGTCCGTGGATGAGTTAATAACATGAATAATGGAGATGCATAGGGTTGTAACAGCATTTTTGTGCCTATCAATCGTATCTTTTTGATTTTTATGGTGACTCGCAGGTGTTTTGTATTAGGCAAATTACAGTGTAAGGGTGCAAAGAGGCCAGCATCTCAATCTGGGCCATCTTTACCAGGTCAGCACGCAGTTCTACCAGTACAATTTGCTGCTGTGTACAGTACCTACTAACTGCTGTTCTCACTGATTCACATGCACTGTACGTGCAATGGGCACACATAGTGTGGAACAGGCTCTACGCGTGAATTGCTAATGCGAAACGCCAGATCCCTTTGGTATATTACCACGTCACCCGACAGGCCAGGAGTGAATCTTGATTTACGCACTGTGAGGCTTAATATCGTGGACAAACTCCATATTAATAGACAGTTAATTTGGAAATCGATCTTGCCCTTCCGTTTTGGCGAGAGGTTCAGGAGAAATGGTGGGTTGTCAAGATGACAGTTTCTCACTGCGCCGCAGTGGTTGCAGGGGGTTGTGTAAACACCGCACAAGTGTTTCGGTCACTTGAAATGCCGCTCAAATGTGCTGTCTTGTAGTCATCATCGACTGGAATACCGGTACATTTACACTTTTGTGCAGAGAAGATAACCCCAAGCCAACCTACATGTACAGTATACAGTATGTGATTGATGTGCATGGCTTAGCCTCGCATCCTCTCTTTATACATGTACTGGTAGTTTTGTTCTTAGAAGTCAGAAGAGTCGCAGCTGTAGAATTGTTTCCTGTTCTTTTTCTCAGTAATTTGGTTTCAGTTTGTAGCGTGCATTTTTATCTATTCAACATTCAGCTAAATTGCAGGCATTTATGCCAATCTACAGTGTAATTCCACTATTTGATGTTTTTCAATCTCCTGAACCATTAATTTTCAACTAATTTTGTCCAAGGAAAAGTACGGTAACTTGTGGAGCCATCCATCCATTCTTTGGCACATCATTTCTTTGCTCTCATTTCATAGATTGGTACATTCATAGAGTCAGTGTTGTTCTCTGGGATTGGAGTTACTGTATCTCCCACAAAAGTCCCAGTGCTCATGTACATGTGCTGGTACACTAAACGTGCATTGATCGATGTTTATATGTGCTATACATTCCTCTTTTAGCATCTTGCACAAAGTGCAGTTCATAAATGGATCGAAAAGTTGACATGGTACATGTATACATGTAGGAGGGTTATTAGCATTTTAGTGAGAAAGGCTGCTGGTAATTGTGATATGACTGCACATGTATCATTTGTTTCATGAAGGAGAACTTTTGTCTTAAGTGCAGCTAAAGGAAGATATTTTGTGTTGAACGGGGAACACAGAAAATAATACTGGACATTTGTGTGCTACTCGTACGGTAGCTGTCTTCAAATTCAAATTAATTCCAGATCTTTGAGATCATCCATATCACTGTGTAGAAAGGATTCAAAATTCATTTCAGCAAGTACATGTCGAATTGCATCCGTGTAATAGGAAAAAGTGATATGTACCAGTAACCACATGTACATGTACATGTAAAAATGCAAATGACCGTACAGTGTTACTGGCCAGCCATTGGTCAGTCCTCAGTACTACAGTGTAATAGATTGACCAGGCAAGGATGACTCATCTTGGCCAGAGAGATGACCAGCGAATTTCAGATTCATTTTTTTCCTACACATTATAGCCAGGCCAAAGAATCATTAGTCATCTGCCAATCTTTTTTTAATGGTATGGAATACTCTGAATGATGTAGAGTACTGGTACGGGCATGTTCAGTGCTACCGACATCGCAATATTGGTACCACCATACATGTACAGTACATGTACATGTACATGTGTGGTACTATACTACATGTATCTCCAGAATATGTCACTTTGCAGATGTTCCACATGTACGTGTACAGTGCATACCGTTATCACCCCACCCAGAAAGAATTCTCCTGGTGCACTGTGTCTACATTGTACCAGATTCTTACCGGTTTAAATTTAAAACAGCCACTTTGAACAAAACACAAAAAATTACATTTGGAAATCGAATGGTGAAGCTTTGAAAGGGAATTCAGTGTACTGTGTAAAATTGATTCAAACCTTCAAAGTCACTATTAATTTGAAACATTGACAGCATTTGGTATATTGTTAGCACACTTTTCTGTTTGAAAGGGGCCCATCCCAACTGATACAATTTTTTCTGCACATTTATCCATATTGGAATATCCCACTGGATATAATACCGGTACATGTACATGTCCATGCATACACGTGTGCTGGTACCAACAGATAGTGTTGAAAGCATAACCCATGCAACAGTGCACTGGGTGGTTTAGTGAATATTAGTCAATCTTACAATGTACATATTTTAAAAACAACCTTGGTATATCAACTAACCTTGGTTTATTAGACAGTGGATAGGCCTAAATAATTAATCACCTTACATTTGAATAATCACTCAGGTGCATTATTTATATCGGCAGGATCAATTGACAATATGGCAAAATACAGTGTCCACTGACCAGTCCTGTAATATACTAATGGTCACTTCTACTCTGTCCTCTGGATGATGACTCATGTGTGGGGGACCTTTGGCTACCCTGATAAATTGAAATTGTACAGTACATAAGTATAAAGTGACCTACCAGTAAAACGCCTGCTACAAAAACAAAAGAACTCATCACAGTACACGCACAGTATTAGCTTGTAATTTTATCCGTGCTGTAAATGGAAACTTGTACACTTGTTTTAAATCCTTCTCAAAATTTATGGTGTTATTACGATTGAGATAAATAAGCTATTTTGTTATTGCCCAATACCTGTACATGTACTCATACATATGTACCGCAACCATAACGGTACATCATCCCTGGACAGGTCTGGAGCTGATGTCACTATTGGACAAGGAACTTTATAACATTCACAATATGTAAAAATGTACCAGTACTGTACAGTACGTGCTTACATGTACATGTATCTGATGGTTCCTTTCATCCCTGCAAATTGTACACCCCCCCTCCACTTCATCAGAACTGGGCTCATCCTGTGGTGCTTCTTGTCCTTCTTGACTGAACTTCAATTGATGCCTAATGTTTTGAGGCTCGAGTCTGTCTCCCAAGTTTTTTTACTCAATTGGACGCAAGTACATGTAGCCACATAATCTAGAACCCACATGTTCACTGTATACCAAAACACTCATCACTATTGATTAATTATTGCCAAACCTGCTTACGTAGTCTGTAACACATTTGCAGAGGCAACTACGTCCATGCTCTCCGGTCTCAATTGATGGTTGTACATGCACCTTTATATTCCATGTACTAATTTTGCAGCATGTGTTGATTGTCAGATGGCATGATGACTCATCCAGCAAGCGCTTTATTGAAATCATTTTCATAATGACTGATTGGTACAACAATTGCCCAGCCCCTGCGGCATACCTGGTACGCTCGCCGCCCCGTGGCCTCTCATTACGTTGTTTCCCTGCCTGCCGTTGTTGTTGTCCTGTCAATCACTCATTCCAGATAATTTTTGTGCCTCTTGCAAATAAAAGGAAGGAGGAGCATTTAGATTTTCATCTCTCTCCGATATCAGAAGTGACAGTGTGCAACCTTGCTAATGAATTGGATGGTGAGGGTTTACTACTGGGAGACGGCTCCCAGGAACTGTTGGAAATAAAAATTGTATGCGGGGTGCAAATTACATGTACATGAAGATTCTAACATAATAATTAGTCTAATGGGAATAAAGATATAAGTAGGTTGTGACTGAAGATGAACTACAACTGTACATGTAGTCAATTCCATGTTCGTGTTGTTCAACAGCAAAGCAGGCCCCCTGATACCGGTACATGTAGAGTATGTGTATGTACATGTACTTGAAAATAAATATTTCGAAAAATGTTACCGTAGATTCCACAAGAAGTTTCAGAATTTGTCAGAAT